TGAACAACTTCTTAAAGTTTTTTAAGATTTTATTTATTTATTTGACAGAGATCACAAGTAGGCAGAGAGGCAGGCAGGTGGGGGAGAGGAAGCAGGCTCCCTGCTGAGCAAAGAGCCCGATGTGGGGTTCAATTCCAGGACCCTAGGATCATGATCTGAGCGGAAGGCAGAGGCTTAACCCACTGAGCCACCCAGGCGCCCTTGAACAACTTTTTAAAAAATACTTGCCTGGGCTCCACTCCTTGGAGATCCTGTTACTCAATCTAGGGCCAGGGCATTTTTAAAAACTTCCCCCAGGTGGTTCTAATGTTTAGCTGAGGGCTGAGAACTACTGATTTAATCCAATCCCCTTATTTTTCTAGGGAGAAAACCAAATCCAGAGCATAAGCAAGTTGCCCAGAGACACTCAGCCCGTTGGTGCGTGGTGCACCAAGAGAGCGGACGGCAATAGCAAGAATAGGTTGATGATGTTTATAATTCTTTCCTGTTGGAGTTAATCCCGGAAGCATTTCTCTTTAGTTCAGAGAGCTGTTACATGATTTACCTTTTACTGAGACATTATTCTGGTAAGACTGAAAGGATTCGCATTCCCTGACCACATAAGGACAGAGATGGGATTATACATTCACCACACACAGCCAGCCAAATTAGCAAAGCTCCCGAAGAGGTCGCTTGAAATGCCGAAAATGCCTCTTCTCCACCGTGATCACCCAGAGCTAAGGGATCTTGGCAGGGTGGTGAGAAGCGAAGGGGCTGGAAAAAAGAGGAAAGCATTCCTTCCCAGGGGGTGGGTGCTGAGAATCAACGGAGAACCGACCAGAGCTGCCAGGAGGGAAAGGCGAGGAAAGGAAAAGAATTTCAATGAGCCCAGGGAGCCTCTGCTCCCCCCAAAACGGAACAATGATGCACAGTCCGGAAGTAACGACCCTCCCGGGAGCCCTGAGATCCAAAGGAGACGATCAAAAGGGGCTCTGCAATACGGGTACTAAAGAAAACTTCTCCCAACACTCACCAAAAATGGAGCCCTCCCCCTCGCCCCCCCGCCCAGTAAAGACCAGAGTTCATTTGCCCCCAACCCTCTGCTAGTCCCTCGGTTCAAAGCCAAGCTCTTCCATGCTCTCCACCCCGCGGCCTCAAAAAGGGGCGGTCCTGGCTTCACGTGACATTGCGGTCACGTGACCCAGACCCCGCGGGAGCCGAGGTCCGGGTTCCAGCTCCCGGGGTCGGAGGGGGCCGGGCGCGCCCAGCCCCCAGCCCGCCGCCACCATGCTGTCACGCCTGCTGAAAGAACACCAGGCCAAGCAGAACGAACGCAAGGAGCTGCAGGGTGAGCCTATCGTCCCCGTCCGCTGTTTTCTCTCCCGCCGCGGCCTAGCCTCAGCCCGGAACCTGGAGCTCGAGTAACGGCCGGGATCCTGGGAAGGACGCGGGCTGGTGGGCGCGGGCGTCGGAGAGGGGTTGGGGGCGCTTTTGGGGGGAAATTTGGGGGAAATTACCTTGCCAGCGGGCTCTAGTGCCTTTGACTACGCTGCGAGCCGCCCCTCCCCAGCCCCCTCCCCCCGATAACGCCCCCCACTCTCAGTTTCCGCGCATTCTCCTCTGGCCCCCGCGCAAGGAACAGCGCTGTGTGGATTGGCCCAGGGAGCCTCTGGTCCCAAAAGTGGGAAGGGACGCTCCTGGGGGAGGAGCGTGCTGGGGCCAGACTGAGATGAGATTCTTGGAGGCCTGAAACCACGGAAATGGGGGTGGGGCCCTTCCAGGATCTGGCCTGGGAATCGGGGAGTTACTAATCCTCAAGCCAGGAGAGTGGAAAATAGTGCGGGGGGTCTGGAGTCCTGGGCGCCGCCACTGACTCGTTAGCGTCTCTGGGCGAGTCGCTTCCGTTCCCAGGGTACCAGTTAATTCACCTCTAAGAAGAAAAGACTAAAGGGAAAAAAAATTTTTTTTAATAAAATGAAAAGGCTTGCTTTATGTTTTGCAAAATCCGTTTCAGCCCCAGCACTGTAAGGTTTGTTGAGATGTTCCTGCTACTAGCGGAATAGCAATGAGTGTCGGCCCTTTAGCACCACCCTTCAAAAAACCGATTCTCTACTCCAATCCCTTTTCCCCTCATCCCTAGAGAAGAGGAGGCGAGAGGCTATCACTGCAGCGACCTGCCTGACAGAAGCTTTGGTGGATCACCTCAATGTGGGGTATGAACTTCTTCCCATCAACACCATTACCTCCCCACCCCCCGCAAGTTTAGGCTTTGGCAAGGTCCAACCCTCAGACTGCTGTTGAGGGGGTGGGATGTTCCATCATTCCCTCCCCTCCCCCAGCTTAACTTTATGGGGAGAGGCTTGAGTCAGCTCTGACCTCTAACGTTGCACTAGGAGGAGCAGCTGCAGTGGTTGGAGAAGCAGCCAGATTCCCCTCTCCCCACAATAACCTCCCTGGTGCTCGCAGCTTGATGCCATCTGCCCACTTCCCTTCATCCCTCCAAGTCCAGCTGTCACTTTGGCAGGAGGGAGAGCACCCTCCTTCGCCAGAACTTGCCACCCTCTCCTTCTCTACCTCCCACCCTCAGGCAGGCCTGGGGAGCAGCTGGCAGGAAAGAGATGGCGCAGCTGGTGAGGGTGAGGGTGAGGGCAGAATCTATGCCAGGAACTATAGCAAAGCCAGGCCTTCTTGTCCCTTCCTTCCCAGTCTCCAGAGACCACCCCACTGTGCCAATCCTATAGGAGAATGCCAGTAACAACCAAAGACTTGGGAAGGAGCAAAGAATATGGTCTCTTGACCCTGAGTAACACAGAAGAGTGCTGAGATGATGACTGGAAGAAAAGGGGCAGTATGATGCCTTCCACCCCAGGACAAGAAGAATAACTGGTTGTGAATCCAGAGATTGAGTCACCCAAGTGAGCCATGCAGGGACTGTCATCTTAATTACTCATCTCTGGGGAAGATTAGGGGACAAGAGGCCTGTGGTTGAGGCCTCTGATCTCCCTCCCCTGCAGACCTCTCCCTTCACTCAGCATGAAAGTGGGAGGTCAACAGGAAAAACTAGGGTTTTAAGAACTCCCAGGGGAATCTCTTAAAGTATCGGGAGCCCCCTGCTATTGCTGTTTGAGCTCCTGCACCAGCCTGTACTATGGCCAAGCTGTCTCCCAAAGAGAAAGGACGGGGTCTGCCCCCTTTCCTCCCTCCCACATTGGCGCTTCTTGGGCTCTGCTCTGAGATTGGCCCAGGCTTCTCCCTCCACTCCTCCTTTGCTAGGGGCCACCCCTCTTTCAGCTTAGAAGACAGCTAAGCCAAAGCCAGATTAGAAAGGGTTTTGTGTTGCTGCCCACGGGTCCTCTCATTCCCTGGAAAGGAAAACAAAGGCTCAATCTATCTCAGCCCCTGTCAGGTGTCCTTCCCATTCTCTCCACCCTCCCCAACCCCTTGCCCCCTCCAACCCCCACAGATTCCAGTTGGGGGTGGGCACCGGATGTGGAGTCTCCCAGATGACCTAGAGCTTTAGGATGGGGAGTCAAAGACTCTCCAGCCAATGAGAAAGAACAGTAGTTGTGGGATGGGGAGGTTGGGGGAAGAGGGGCAGGGTAGGGGGTTGGGGGTAGCAATCTCAAGGCATTAACAATAACTGCAGCCAGTCTTGATTGAGAAAAAAAGAAAAACTGCCTAGAGCAGAAGGAAGAAAGGGTGAGAGAGAGAGAGACAGATTGTGTGTGTGTGTGTGTGTGTGTTCCTTCATCTGTGTGGGCGAAAGGAGAAGGGTTGGGAGAGAGACTGAGAGCCAAGAAAAAGCCCCTGAGATACCTTCCCTTGACCCTGAGTTCCTGGGGAGGGGGGCTGCTCTCCCATCCCACCCCAGATTCAGGGAGGGGCCCAATTTCCCTTCCCAACTTCTTGCACAGATCCCTGGGCTTCCAAGCATGGCCAGATTTCTCCCTGCTGCTGGATTTTCCCAGCTTCTCCTCTAAGCTTCCAGCTTCTTCCCCAGGGATATTCCCTCCAGGTTAATCCTCCCTTCTCTCACCCAGCTTTAAGAATTCCTTTGATGGGGTAGGAGATGGTAACTTTTCAGTCAGCTCCCAGCTAGGCTCTCCTGGGAATGCTGAGAGTGGGAGGAAGAAGCTGATTCATTTGCATGAACGGTAGTCATTTGCATCCCATCCAAGAACGGCCAAAATCACACGGTTTTCCCCAGTTTGACTGCTGGCTGCCCTCCCACCCTTGCAGTGGAATATTAGTCCAGGAGACCACTCCCCACTGGATGGGGGAGTTGATCTCCTCCCTCTTCCAACCTCTAGTGTGGCCCAGGCCTACATGAACCAGAGAAAGCTGGACCATGAGGTGAAGACCCTGCAGGTCCAGGCCGCCCAGTTTGCCAAGCAAACAGGCCAGTGGATCGGGATGGTGGAGAACTTCAATCAGGCACTCAAGGTGGGCCACACTCCCTACATCCGTGGGACCCTATTAACTGCCTCTAGGCAGGTCAGTTCAGGGCTCAGTTTAAAAAGGAAATGGGGATGCTCCCAGCAATGGTTGGTATCTGTGGCCCCAGTGTCAGAGAAGCTAGAGAGATAAAAGTAATTGGTGGGTTCAAGCAGAGCCCTTTCTAGGGGATGGATGGAAAGTGCCCCTATCTGTCTCCTTAGAGCCACACTCTACCCTACACACTCTGACTCGCAGCCTCCCACCTCCTCCCCTTCCCAGGAAATCGGGGATGTGGAGAACTGGGCTCGGAGCATCGAGCTGGACATGCGCACCATTGCCACGGCACTGGAATATGTGTACAAAGGGCAGCTGCAGTCTGCCCCCTCCTAGCCCCTCCCCCCTTCCTAACCCCTACCCCACCCCTCCTGCCTCCTCCATGGGGGAAGCTGATAGGCCAATAATAAAACACAAGCCTCCATTTCTGTGTGGTATGTTTCAAAGAGCTACTAGCCCAGCATGGGTGGATAGGAGTGGAAGATTCAAAGACCGTTTCCCTAAGTGACAGTTAACCTTTTGGGTAAAGGGTGGAGCGAGCGTCCTCTTACCATCCCACCCCTCTTTCCCTCTTTGGGCCTGGTGCAGGTGCATGTTGCATGAGCAGAGGGCGGAAGTTTCCCACACCTCCCCAGAGAAGGTTAGTGGGCTCTGCCCCAAGCTTCCTAATTCAGGATTTTGGTTCCCTGCAGAGGAGAAATATGACAGGGAGCAGGCTTGGTCCCCGCTCTGGCGCTCTGCCTCTCCACGTGCTCGTGGCCTCTCCCAGCCTGGTGCTAAGCAGTGTCATGAGTCCGGACCAGGTTGGGGATTAATTCTTGGGCATGGGGGCACTTCAGGGCTGGGAAGGAGGAGGAGTGGCAGGTCCAAGGTCACCAACAGAGAGGGGCAGCTGATGTCGTTGACATATTCCTCCTCCTGACAGAGGCAGTCAGGCACCCCCCCCCCCCGGCTGGGGGCTGCGGCAGGCCTGGCCTGTGCCAAGCATTGGCTTTGACTGCCAGGCTCCAGCTTCCCTGGCTCCTCCTCCCAGCCTCTCCCCTAACACCCCCCCACAAATACTTAATACCTCTGGGACCCAGGCCACCCGCTGTGGACTTTGGCATTAGCAGTAGCTAGTGCGGGGAGCCTGGAAAGACTGGGAGCAAAGTCTCTCAAACAGAGCACGAGAAGGAGCTTCGGGCACTGTACTGCCTGCTAGCTTTCCCCAGAGGAGGTAAGCAGGGTCCCGGGAGCTGGGTGCTCTGAGGGGGCTCACCTGATATCGCATGTGTTGATAAGTCAAAGCCGGAAGCTTTTCCTGCGCTTCCTCACACTTGATTGCCCTTGACCCTCCACAGCTCCCAGCTGGGCCACAGCTGGTGTCGGCCCCGCTGGTAGAATAGAAAACAGGTTCAGAGATGTGGTGAGACACTCAGCATCGCACAGTAAGTTTGGGGCCAACAGGGCTGAAGTGCTCTGTGTCCTGTATGTGTTTCCAAAAATAAGGCCTAGTTTACATGGAGAGAATTCAGATGTCGCTGGCTGAGCAGGAGAGCTGAAAGCCAGTCAGATTCCTCTGCTTGCATGCGTGCCAGAGTCTGCACCCTGGCCCCAGCCCCTCAGGCTCTAGTTAAGGTAGCCCCCAATACAGGGTCTGCCTGGATCTTTGCTTGGCTTAAATGAGCCAGAATTTGCCAGTTCCCTGCCAAGCAGAGAACTTCTCAGTCTGCTCAGAGCGGACTACCAGCTAGGGAGGATAATAGGGGCAAGGGTTTCCAAGCCCGAGTAAACCAGACAAGTTCTCCCGTCCAGCCTCGGCTGCCACCTGCAGGTTGTTTGGGCTCTGGCCATGTGGCTGCCCCTGCTGCTGGGAGTCTTGCTCTGGGCAGCGCTGTGGTTGCTCAGGGACCGGCAGAGCCTACCCGCCAGCGACGCCTTTGTCTTCATCACTGGCTGTGACTCAGGCTTCGGCCGGCTTCTGGCCCTGAGACTGGACCAGAGAGGCTTCCGAGTCCTGGCCAGCTGCCTGACCCCCTCAGGGGCAGAGGACCTACAGCGGGTGGCCTCCTCCCGCCTCCACACCACACTGCTGGATGTCACGGATCCCCAGAGTGTCCAGCGGGCAGCCAAGTGGGTGGAAACACAGGTTGGAGAAGCAGGTGAGTAGCGCGGGGCCTCCAGGACCATGGGGCCACTGGTACCATGGTGCAGGTTGCTCACAGGGGCCTCAGGAACCTGGAGGGATGGCGTGGGGAAGGAGAGCAATCTGGAGAGAGCGCATTGGAATGCCTTACCTACCCTGTGCTATCTGTCTCCTCTCTCCTCAGGGCTTTTTGGTCTAGTGAATAACGCTGGTATGGCCGGGATCATTGGGCCCACCCCGTGGCTCACACAGAACGATTTCCATCGGGTGCTCAACGTGAATACACTGGGTCCCATCGGTGTCACCCTTGCCCTACTGCCCCTGCTGCAGCAGGCCCGGGGCCGGGTGGTCAACATCACCAGTGTTCTGGGTCGCCTGGCAGCCAATGGCGGGGGCTACTGTGTTTCCAAGTTTGGCCTGGAGGCCTTCTCTGACTGTCTGAGGTGAGGGGTGCAGAGCCCTGGACTGCCCTGCAGAGATGACTAAAACACAGCATAGTGGGATCCTGAAGAGGAGACATTAGGGCTCAACTTTGTGGGTTCAAACCCCAGTCTCCTTTCATGGGAGCTTCATGACCTTGAGAGGTTACCTCTCTTTACACCAGTTCATTCCTCATTTGTTAAATCAGGATGAGAATATCTACCTCATGGGTGCTGGAAGTAAAATGAGGTACTTCTAAGGCTGCCATAGAGCCTGGCACGTAGAAAATGCCCCAAGAAGTCTGCTGTCATTATTAGTATTCCTTTTTTTTAATTGAAGATAGAGCATGTGCATGTGAGCACAAGCAGAGGAAGGGTCGGAGGGAGCGGGAGAAGCAGACCCGCTGCTGAGCAGGGAGCCTGACTGGGGCTCAATCCTAGGACCCTGAGATCGAGACCTGAGCCAAAGGCAGACACTCAACCACCTGAGCCACCCAGGTGCCCCTAGTATTATTATTAATAACTGTTACTTATGGTGAACTAGTACTTTTACAGAACATTCTCTCCTTTATTTCTCCCAGCAACCCTCTAAGGAATAGGCATTGATAGCCGCAGGGTAACATAACTTACCCTAGACCACACAACTAGTTAGTGGAAGCAGTGGGACTTACCCTAGATCTGCTTGCCCCTCATCTTTATGTTTTCCTGTCCTCATCTTTAAACAGTAATGTTCAGGGGCGCCTGGGTGGCTCAGTCAGTTAAGCAGCTACTTTCAGCTCAGCTCATGATCCCAGAGTCCTGGGATCGAGCCCCATGTTGGGCTCCCTACTCCATGGGCAATCTGTTTCTCCCTCTCCCACTGCCCCCAACTCCTGCTTGCTTTCTGTAGTGCGCACTCTTTTTCTCCTTCTCAAATAAATAAAACCTTTTTTTTTTTAAAGAAATTTTTAAAAATTAAATAATGTTCAAAGTCCCACGAGAACACAAAGGAGACTTGACAAGTACCACACGGGAGCAGGGCCTGCCTCCCAGCCAGCCCACCTTCTGTAAGAAGTCTGCCTTCTACACCGTCACTCAGCAAAGAATTTCATATACTTTCGTCCCTATCCCTTGGTTCTTTAATTTTCCAATCAGCATCATGGAACACATGCTTGATACTTGGATTTCTGCATCTGTGTCAAGGAGGTTAGATATGTCTCTGCAGTCTCCCCAGCGAATACCAGTCTACACCCTTCATGTCCAGCACTCAGGACTCAACCCTGTACTCCAGGACCTAGGGAATGGGGTAGTTCCAGGTCAGGAGTTGACAAACTGGTTCTCAGGCAGAATCTGGCCAATTGCCTACCAGCTAATAATGGTGTTTACATTTTATTATTTTTTAAAGGTTATTTGAGAGAGAGAGCATGTGCATGGGGGCAGAGGCAGAGGGAGGAGAGAGAATCTCAACCAGAGCCCCCAGCTGCCACAAGGCTTGGTCCCGTGACCCCGAGATCACCACCCAAGCCAAAATCAAGAGTCAGATGCCCAACCAACTGAGCCATCCAGGCGCCACTGGTGTTTACAATTTTAAATGGTTACATTGTTAATGGTTATGTAAGTACCTACCTGATATCAATAATTTTTAGGCCCGTGTTGCCAAAAATATTAACTATCTGGCCCTTTAAGAAGTTTACTGGGACGCCTGGGTGGCTCAGTGTTACTAATCGTCTGTCTTTGGCTCAGGTCATCCCAGGGTCCTGGGATTAAGCCCCCATTGGGCTGCTGTATGGGAAGCCTGCTTCTCCCTCTCCCACTCCCCCTGCTTGTGTTCCCTCTCTCTGCTGTGTCTATCTCTGTCAAATAAATAAATACAATCTTTAAAAAAAAAAAAAATTTACTGACCCCTGTTCTAGATCTTAAGAGTACAAAGGGAAACAAACCTCAAAAATACATGGCCCATTTGCCCCCATCCCAGAACAGCAGGGATCCCCTTTTCCTTCAGGACCCCGGTCCCTAGCTTGTGATAACTTTCCCATTTTAGCCCCTACAACCAAGTCCCCAAGGATCCCTTTCCTAATTAGGGGAAGAAGCCAGAAACCTCCCTCTGTCCCCATCCAGGCGGGATGTGGCTCATTTTGGGGTCCGAGTCTCCATCGTGGAGCCTGGCTTCTTCCGAACCCCTGTGACAAATCTCAAGAGTTTGGAGGATACACTGCAGGAGTGCTGGGCACGGCTACCTTCTGCCACACAGGCCCGCTATGGGGAGGCCTTCCTCACCAAATGTGAGTATCTGGGCCCACACGGGCACATGAAGGGAAATGAGAGCGCCAGAAAGGCCCGTCCTACACCAGCCTGCTGGGAGGAGGTGAGGGTGAATTGGGGTGCCAGAGAAGAACACCCAGGCCATTTGGAATCTGCCCACTTGCCATACTGGGGAGCCACTAAGGAGCCCTCTGACCTCTGCTGGGGACCAGCTCCAGAACCCAGAATATTGGGCCGGAGTGGGAAGGGACACTGATTACAACCATCTTCTGGAATGCAGATTTGGAAGTACAGCAGCGCATCATGAACCTGATCTGTGATCCAGACCTGACCAAGGTGAGCAGGTGCCTGGAGCATGCCCTCACTGCTCGTTACCCCAGAACCCGTTACAGCCCAGGCTGGGACGCCAAGCTGCTCTGGCTGCCAGCCTCCTACCTGCCAGCCAGCCTGGTGGATGCTGTGCTCACCTGGCTCCTTCCCAAGCCTGCCCAGGCAGTCTGCTGAATCCAGCCTGCCAGCCTTCTGTCCCCACCCAGGTACTGCCTAATGCCTGGCATAAAACATGCACTGAATAAATGTCTTGCTTAAAAAACAAACAAAAAACACTGTAGATGGGCGGAAATGAAGTTGTCCAGTGGGAGACTGACCCCATTTAAGCCCTGCCCCCTAGGCTGGCTGACTTGATGCTGGAGTCTCTGGCCTGTTTACTATCTGCAAAGCCACTAGCAACCACTGGGTGTCACCCCCCCAACCCCAGGCCCTCTGGCATCTGTATGGGTCCTTTGAAGCTGCACCTGGAATGGCCACCAAAGGGCACTGTTGGATATTTATTTTCTATGAGGAGTGCCTATTTTTCTTAAGAGGGAGGGAAGGTAGTGAGGAGGGGTCCGGAACAGGCTGGGTGGTTTCCATGGAGGAAAAAAGGCAATACCAACTTAAATTATCCCTTTTTTTTCATTTTTTAATTTTTTTTAAAGATTTTATTTATTTATTTGACACAGAGAGATCGATCCCAAGTTGGCAGAGAGGCAGGCAGATAGAGAGGGGGAAGAAGGCTTCTTGCTGAGTAGAGAGCCCAATGCAGGGCTCAATCCCAGGACCCTAGGATCATGACTTGAGCTGAAGGCAGAGGCTTTAACCCACTGAGCCACCCAGGCGCCCCTTTATTTTTTTTTAAGAGTTTCTTTGAGATAGAGCGAGCAAAAGAGAGCATGAGTTAGGGGGTTGAGGCAGAGGGCAAGGGAGAAGCAGACTCCCCACTGAGCAGGGAGCCTGACACATGGCTCAATCCCAAAACCCTGGGGTCACGACCTGAGCCAAAGGCAGGACATTTAACTGACTGAGCCACCCAGACGCCCCCTCCTTTTTTACATTTTTATTTATTTGAGAGAGACCCTGCAAGTGAGGGAAGGGGCAGAGGGAGAGAATAGCAAGCAGACTCCCTGCTGAGCCGGGAACTAGACATGGAGCTTGATCTCATGACCCTGTGATCATGACCTGAATCAAAGTCAAGAATTGGACATTCAACCGACCAAGCCAACCAGGAACCCCTAAATTGTCCTCTTATCTAATGGATACGGGCCACAAAGGTGTGATAGCAATTTATCACTACCCTAAAAGGAGCCGGGTCCCCTTTGTTGGGAGGGAGTTGCTAGGCCCTCAGAGGTGGGCAGAACACCAGGGAGATGTCCCTGGTAGATGTGGGCTGGCCTCTCCCAGGTAGGGCCATTATGGGGAATCCCTCTGACTTTGGCAAGAGATGGCTTCATAAACATTGCAGCCCCAAAGTTGGCAGCACAGGACTAGGAGACAGGGAGGGCCGTGGGCCCCAACCCCTCCAGATCCCCACTTCTACTGCCAAGCCCACCAGTGTCTTAAGCAAAACCCGCCTTCCCCCAACAACCACCCCCCCACCACCATACGCCTTTCTTTACTGAGGTGCATATAGAACAGGATCCCAGAGGACAGGAACACAGGTGAGGAGAAGGAAAAGATAAAGTATCACACTTCAAGACAAACTGAGACCATTTTTTTTTTCAGTCTGAAAAAATAATCCGTTTAATTGAAAAACCTGGAGTATACTACCCCACTCCCTTAGATGAGGAGACTGAAGAGACCAGACACCCTACATCACTTCATAGCCACTCCGGATACTCTTCACGAGGCAGCAGGCAAAAACAATTCCCAGTACCTAAAAGTAAAGAGAGAGGGGTGGAAAGGAGTCAGAAAGGCAAAGTATCCCAGGACCACCCAGCAGACCCCAAACACCACCAGGGCCCCTGTCCCCAGGCCAGGACTTCCCCAGCACCCTCCTCCCACTGCCCCTAGTGCCCAGATGCCCCAGAATGAGTCCCAAAGGTGCCTCTTACCTCCACAAAGGCAATGCCCAGGGCTGCTGCAGCCACCACCAGCACATTGCTCCGTAGCCAGCCCCCAATCTTCTCCACACAGCCCTGAAAGGTAGTAGGCACACAAGGCAAGAACATAATCAGAAACTTCCCACCTACCTTCTCTGTTCCCTCTCTCTCCCCCGCTCTCTGTACCTTTCACCCTACCCCTAGCATTCCCAGACCTCCTCCCCATCCCAGGGCCCCAACCCTCTTCACCTCCATCCCTGGTCCCTCTCTCTATCTCAACCCTTGAAATATTTCCCAGGTCTCCCAAGTCCCCTCTATCCCAGTTTCTTCCTTACCTCAGAGTAGATGTTATTTATTTGTAAAGAAGCCCCACAGTCCTTTGTGACATTGATGCAGCACGAGTCAGGGACTTGGCCCCTGGGCACAGTAGGGACGCTCTCCCAGTCCGTGTAGTTAGCTGCCCCGCAGCATTTAAACTGCAGGAGAGAAGAAATACGGAGTAGAAGGTTAGTATGTGCACCTCCACCTACAATACGAAGATAAGACTCTTCTTCCCCCTCTACCCCTGCTCCCAGCAACCTTCACTCACATCTTCCTGCATCTTGTCTAGGGCCAAAGTCGTGCGATTATCTTTCCGGTAATTCTGCATCTGCTGCCGGAAGTCCTTATTAAATTCTAACATCACCTGGGAATAAGAAGGGGCACTATTGAGGTCACACTCCAGGGCACACGCATCCCAGAGCAGCGAGACCTCTGAGGCAGGGCCCTCCCCCTTTTCCCCTGCTTACCTTGTCTCTAAACACATAGCCAGCAATGGCTGCGGCCACCTCCACCAGCATGATAAGAGACAGGAAGATGGCAAACTGCAGGCACAGTGGACAAGGGTCAGGCTGGAGTCTTGGTGAGAGTGGCCTGCTGTGGCCCAGCCAGCCTCTAGTTCACTCATGAAGGTTTTCCTCCCCCTCCGTAGGGTACCCTCCCCGCAGTCCCAGATACCCACCCTGGCCCCACACCCAGCTCACCGTGATCATAAGACAGTAGTTCTCCTTGCAGGCCCCACAGCAGCCCACAAAGGCCACCAGGAAGAGGAAGGCACCCACTGCGATGATGACCACAGGCAACAGGGAGCCAGGCGTGGCCCCCTGGATAATAGTCTGACTCAGGACCAGCTGGGCCCCTATACCCACAGCAATCAGTCCCACTGCACAGGCCTGTGAGGAGGGCAGGTCAGAATTAGGCCAGACCCACAACCCATCAGCCCTCAGAGCACAGTGGGTACCCCCAGGACACAGTCTTAGCCCCATCCCAGAGAGACGGATTCTCACACCTCCAGGAAACTTGACTGCAGGGGAAGAGGATGGCCCATATTTCCCCACAATTTGATCAAATGCCAAAGGAGAAGTTCCCAGAAAGCCTTGACCCCAGGGCACGTATTCCTCATCTAGAGTGGTGCTTCCTATGGGCCTCTAGGGCTCCCAGAACTGCCCTCTATCTTCTAGTGCCCACTCCATCCTCATCAGCTGTTCTAGGGCTCCTCAGGCCCACTAGGCCAGGGAGGAGAAGGGATCAGAAAAAGAGACAGGAGTGGGGTGCCCCTCCGTGAATAAAGGGCGGCCTCTAAAGCCAGGAGCCCAGGACAAGAACAGACTGTCGTGGGTAGAGAGAGAGTCCTTCCCCACCCCCAAGCAGCTGAGAGGAGTGAAGAGGGATGAGGAATAGAAAGCAAGGAGGAGTAAGGGAGAGAGTAGGGAAGGGTGGGGAGGAGAGGGAAGCCCCACGGCGATAGCTATCAGGCCGGCCGTTGGCTGGTTGCCCCACTGCCCGGTATCACAAGTGGTTGGGTCACCAGACAGGAAGGGCCAGAAGGGGCGAGGGGGAGGGTGCTACGCACCCACGCTGTCCATTCTTGGTCCAAACAAGCCTCAGAGGACCCGGAAAGCTGGAGGGGGTGGGGTGGTCATGCTGTCTTCGGCCTGTTCCCTGGGCTCTCCTTCCACATCTGGTCTCCAGCTGCCTTCATTCTCGGCCCCTAAGCCCTCACCACTCCGGATCTCCCCGCACCCTGCCAGCGCGCCCCCCACCGTCCTCCTTCCCACTCACGCAGAAGGCCAGCAGAAGAACGTAGAGCAAGAACTTGACACATTTCATTCCTCCTTCCACCGCCATGGCTGCCGGGCCTGGGGTAGAGGGGAGCGCAGGGGGATGAGAACCGGGCAAGGGGGACCTCGGTTTCCGTGCTCCCTGCCGGCCCTCGAGGCCTTCCCTGCGCGGCCCCCATTCCCGGCCCCTCCCACCCGGAAACCCGCGGTCAGATCCACGTCTCCCAGCCCCCTCCTCTCCCAGGCTGGAGAGGGGTGGGGGCGACCGCCGCGAAGCCCGGACCCGCCCCGCCGCCACCCCGGCCGGGGCCCGCCGACCACTCTCGGCCAGCCAACACCCCTCGCGTTCCAATATCCCCTCCCCACCTAGCCAGCCCCTACAAACGGCCCTCGGCCCAAGCGCGACCCCCAGCCGTCTTCCCCTGCGCTCTGACCTTTCCCAAAACACAAGCGCAGCCCGCCCCCCACCGAACCCTCCCGGGCCTCCGGAACTCCACAAAGTTGCAAAGTTGCGAGGGCCTCGGGAGCGCCCGGGAGCGCGGCGGATCTTCGGGGACCCGAGGCGAGCCGCAGCGGAGGAAGCTACCCGCGACCTCCCCGCACCCAAGACAGAGGCCGGCGGTGGACCCCGCGGCCTCACCTGGGCTCCCCGAGGCTGTGCGCTCTTCTCCCGCAGCGGCTCAGGGGCTCTCTAGCGACGCCCCCCAGCTGCGGCCCCGCCCGCCGCGCGGCCCCGCCCCGGCCTCCAGCCACAGCCCCCTCCCCCGCCGCCTCCTCCGCCCAGAGGCCGCCCGCCTCCCTCATGTGACGCGGGAACAGCTGCGGCCTGAGTCACCCGGCCCATGAGGGGAGGGCCGAGCCCCCCGTCCGGCCGGGGCCACGTGGCCCCTAGCCGGAAAGCAGCGCCCACCCCCGCGGAGGGAAAGCGGCGAGGGCAGGATCTCAGGGTGCCTGGGGTCCTTCTGGTGCCCTGGTCCCCGCGCCATCTCGGGCTGGGAGTGCGGGACCCAGCGTCGCCTAGTTCTGCCCGGTTCGGGCAAGCGGAGGAAGCGTGTGCGAGCCAAGGTGGGGATAGCGGCCCGGAGCTACACTCTTAGGGCCCGCGCCGGGAGACTGGGCCGTGAAGGTGACGAGGTGGTCTTCAAGAGGCCTCCTCGTC